CAATGGGTACTTGGCGCTATTTATAGTAGTTGGGGAAATCCCCAAATTCGAGGACATTTAATGCCATTTAATGTTGCAGAAGATAGTGGGACACGTGGCGTCTCCCTGTTGATGTAGCCGTTCTGCAGAAATGAAAGGGTGCAGCGTGCGCCCTCGTTTTTGGGAATTGTCATGATGACAATTTGTGAAAAGACGTTTGGCACGCTGCACGCCGTACTGAGGTGACGTCTTAGGTACGGATGAAATGATGGCTTTTCCTTGGGATTGTCAGTGGTTGGTAGAAGACAAAAAGTGCACAATTTAATTTGTGACTAAGAATGAAAAGACATGTGTCGAATGAAATTTCAAAGAATGCCTTTTTCACTTCAGAGTCGAAATAAGGCATTCTTGGGGGGCAATTTGTTGGCTCCTAAATTCGACACCCTTGTTTTTATTAATATTCAGCCATTAAAGCTGAAAGATGTTTTCGATGTTTTCGACCAGCTGGATCTGTCGAAATGCCCATCAGAAAATGGCAATGTACTGAGAGGATTTCTTCCAAGAGAGAATTTGGTTGCCTTCGACGTCGAAGGTGTGGCTCGTCGAATATGCCTCTCGACGAAGGTGTTCAATTGCTCAGAGTGGGATGGTTTGAAGTTCAAGCGTTTGGAGGGAAAACGGTTCCCAGCGGTTACCAAGTGCAACGTGCAAAGATCTGGAGCGTCGAACGCTGAGAACGTGCCAAGTGGAGTCATCTCGAACCAGTGTAACTGCCCGACGGTTACTTGGGATGTTTAGTATAAATATTAGTAGTTCACGCAGTTTTTCGCGTGTGTTCACAATTATATACAAAGTCACTCATATAGATTCGAGTACCCAGCGTGTGAGAAAGAATTGTTGAGAATGTATGTGTGAAACACCACTTTCTATTAATCAAAGTCATTTATTTTCCAGAAACTTTACTTGCTTTCTTCTTTACTTTTCCTGTCGAAACCTTTATTTCAAGCCTTCCTTTATTTTATCAAGTCCACTTCTTCATGCAATTTACTTAAAGCCTCTTTATTTTCTTGTCATTTAACCATTATCAAACTTAGTCAAAACCCCAAAATCAACCATGTCTTAGGATCAATCTGATCGATCCTGCGAGTAACCAAATAAGTAACCATTTGGAAGATCAGCGGTTGTTTACCAATAACCACGGTAAACACGAGGTCGATTTCGACCTCTTCGAATTCGAATTCAGGATAGTCCTCTGCTTCTTCAGTTCCAACGTAGGAGATCCTTTCTTTCTTGTTATTTTTGAAGACTCTGGCCTTTTCGGCTTTTAGCCTTTCGACCTGTCGAACCCTATCGGCTAACTGAGCCATGTCCCTCAAATATTGAGTGTCTAGTTTCTTTCGAATAGAGTAATCCAAGCCACCAGCGGCCATTTCGACTAACTCATGTTCAGGCACTACTGTGTAACATCTGGATTTCAAAAGCCTAAATCTATTCAGATAATCATCTATGGGTTCAGTGAACTTCCTCTTGACACTGGCTAATTCCTTCAAGCTTATTTTTGACTGTCCCATGTAAAACTGTTCATGGAATAATCTCTCCAAAAGGGGCCAAGTATCAATGGACCCAGGAGGCAAAGTGGTAAACCACGTGAAGGCGTTTTTAGTCAGGGAACTTGGGAAGTATTTGATCCTGAGATCTTCATTATTGGCTATATCTCCCTCTTCGGTTAGATATCTTGCTATATGTTCGACTGTTGACTCATTGGTATCCCCAGTGAACTTTGTAAACTTAGGGACTTTATATCCCCTTGGCAAATCAGTATGCATTATGCAATATAATATAGGAGAAGCATAATTTGGCCTTCTCATTCCCGTGTTGAGGCCATTCTGGGCCATGACTCTCTCTATCATGGTAGTTAGATTGTTTTCTGCCAAGATGTTATCGTTTCGAATTCTATGAACGACAGCATCAACATCTTGATTTCGACCCACCATGACAACCCCCCTAGGTTGTTCTTCTCGAAACTCTGGGACTTCCAGCCTTTCGACCCTTGCCCCTGGTTCCATAATTTCTCTTTGTGGGCCTGGGATTATTGGGGCTTCTAACCTTGGTGCCCTTGCCCCCAAGTTAACTTCTTCTCTAGGTGGCCTATAAATTGGGTCGTTAGCAACTTGTTCCATAACAGGCATGTTTGCTCGAACTCCCGCCTAATTCTGCCTACGCCTTTCTGGGGGAGCAAAGAAATCTTCTATTCGACTCATGTTGTCAGCGTTTTTCCTGTTTGTCACAGTCACATTTTGTACTATTGGGGCAAATATTTCCTGCATTGTTTGCGCTAACACCCCTATCATATTATGGTTATTGTCATCCATCAATTGCCTAAAAGCCAACTGGTTTTCTGTGGTTAAAATAGACATTGTGCTATAACCCACTGACCCTTGGTTATTTGTCATAAACTGATTCGCCCCAGACCCAGACCCTAATTGTGGTGATGAATTCGATGTGGAATTGTGTAAACCTGCCATAAAGGATGTTGGCATTCCATAAGAGGAATTTCTGGTTCTATTACCATCGAAATCGGGTGGTCTAGTTAGTGGAGTGGCAAAATGGGATTGTGTCCCTGATGGTGGAACAAATCCCCCAGGATAACCAATGGTTCCAGTATTTCCTAAGATCGAACTATTAGTTGATATGCCACTTACTCCATTAGTGGCTATATTACTGGTTGAAGATGCAACAGACTGTGCATTCGAAGGGATCACATTAGATGTTCCCATCGAAGTGGACACATTAGTGCCTGTTGTGTGTGGGGCATTTTGTTCCCCTTGTTGATTGTCAGAATTAGACATCTTGTTCAAACATTTTCTTCTGGATAAGGGCTGGTTGCTCTTGGTTATTTTACCACTTCTTAGGTTCATAAAACAACAAACTTCTTAGGTTCCAACATTTTTTTTATAATGGTTATGTCTCAACAATCTTTATTTCTAATGTCCAATTATTGGTCCCACCGGGTGTGCCAATTTGTTTCCAGTGATTTCTGGTAAACAACCGCTAGTCTTCCAAACCATCGAATAAACTTACTGGATGTTATTCAATTTCTCTGGTAACTCGCAGGATCGACTAGATTGATCATAGGACTCGTTGGTCATTAGGGTAACTCTCATGATCGAACAGGTATTCATGGTTGGTATTTAGAGTATTGTGTAGGTGTTTGACTTATTTCGATTTCTCTCTTAAAGATCTAAAGGTGTAATCAAAATATATGTACGCGAAACTAAATTGCATGAATAAATGTTAATTGTAAAGACATATAAAATTCATAAAAGACAAGTAAATGGCTTCGAATTATAAAAACAGTTAATGTAAAAGATGCTCTGGAATGTAAAAGATTTGAAATATGAAGAAAGCGTTTAATGCAATAAATCTGTAAAGTGACTTTAAGTAAAAGAGGCGTTCGAAGGATAAAACTTGAAGATAAAGGCATGAAAAGTATGACAGTTTTCTGAAATGTAAATTGTTTGAAATGGAAAGAAAGCATTTAAATGTAAGGCATCAATGAAAAGATTTCGAATAAAAAGACTTTAAATGAGAAAACTTGTAAATGGTATTTGGCAGAAAGATAAAGGAAAGTACTGGAAATGATAAAGGGTTTTCATTAAATCATAAACATGTGGTGTTATCGTACGTACATTGCTCTTGCATTCGTTTCCCTAGCCATGTGGTAATTTGAATGTTTACTGAGTATTTAGTACAATAGATATGACACACGAAATCCTAATACTAAGACTTCTATTTATACTAATTCGACCATAACGGTCTTGCTATAGGATTATGCCACATTCAGAACATGCAGAACAATGCCTCTCTCTTGTTTCCACGTGTCTCCAAATGCTCCAGCACATAAATTTCAAACTTCGAATGTCCCGCTTGCATTTGAATTTCAAATGTTTTGGTACTTCTCCGCTTCGAACGCACTTCTCAGACACAGCCTTGTTGTCATTTCGAGACTTCTTTAGATATGTTCCCACAATTGCCACTCGAAGCTCCAAGCTTTGATATGCTCATTCGAAACACTGCTTCTGCTATTTCGAAACATGACGCTTTGTTTCATTTCGATCGAAACGTTCAATTCACTTGGCTTCTAATAATATTATCAAAGTCTTCAGCCAACACGTCCATGATCTCAAAATCTCCAGTAAGTTTTCATATCTTCTTTAACCTATCCTTCATCTAATAATATTCCACAGTCTTCCCAAGGGGTTTAATGTTTATCGCCTCCTTCTATGAATTGTACAGTTCTTAAAAAAACTTCTCATCCATTGTGATCTTTGGTAGCAATCGATTTCATACTTTAAGAGAGACTTTCATAAATCCCTTTTCAATCAAATCAACTCTCTCCTTCATAATAGTGGTTCCTTAATCTTCAATGAAAATGTCCCAGAACAAAAGTCTAAAAGACTTAGATATATATCTATTTGATGACTTGACCGACAACGACAACATAAAAGCGATGAAAACAAAACACTCCATTCGAAAACCTTCTTTTCTTGTTTCTAACTAATTCTCTTCCATTCCTTTATTTATTTTTCTATAAAAGGATATAGATTATTAGATTTGTAAGAACTTTAATACATAATTTTTTACTATCACCTTTCAAATTCAAGTTCAATTCTCATGAGGACACACTATCCTAATGAGTAAGGGTACAAGCTAGACACCACCTCAATAAATAAATTAAATTAATAAAGAAGATAGTATCATAGTAGTGTTTTTTTAATCAAAGTATCATAGTAGTTTAAAAGGTCGAATTAGTTTCTAATTCTATTAAATTAAATCAAATAAATAAAAATTATAAGTGATAAATATGAAAAATTAAAAAAAAAAAAAAACTTTATAAAGAGAAAATGGAAGCATTGTACACGTAGAAGTATAGTTAGTTTTTGAAAGCGAAAATGGTGCAGTGGACCAAAATCGTTTGACTATTCAAAAACACGAAAGAAAACCCTTGATCGCACACCACAATGGCGGAACCTCCACAACAACCCCTTCTTCTCCTTGACAGCACCGATTCCAGAACCAACCGAGTCATGTCTCAACTCACTCACTCGCTCCTCTCTCAACTCACCCAACTCAATCCTTCTCTTCCTCCTTCCACCCTCGCACAACGCGAGTCTTATATTCAATCTCGCCTTCAAAACCTTTTCCATAATTTCCACACCCCCACTCACCCCCCTTATGCTCTGGTCAGGAATGATCTACGTTGCTAATTTGTAATTGACAATTGAAATTGATAGATAATGATGTTGATATGTGTTTTTGTTTTTGTTTTTGTTTTTGTTTTTGTGTGTAGATGATAAACAAGGCAATTGTGGAATTGAATGACAAAAATGGATCCACCGTGGAGGCGATTTCGGAGTTTGTTAAAAGAGAATACGACGATTTACCATGGGCTCATTCGAAGATTCTGAGTATTCATCTAGGGAGGATGTGTGAGATTGGGGAGGTTGCATGCACTGAGAATGGGAGATACATGCTTCCTGTTGGTGGCATGGAAAAGAAAGAGGAGAAAGAGAAAGAACGGTGTAAGGGTAGCAGGAAGAGGCGGAGGGGCTGTAGGAGTAATCGTGAAGATATTGAGAGAGGGAATCAGTTGGCTTTGTTGGATAGTGATGGTATGGGTGAGGCTTCGCCGCAGGTCGCTGAGAGTGGTGATCATTTGATTGGAAGTGTCAAGGAAAAGGGTGTTCAATACTTTGAACCAAATCCACAACTTCAGGTATTTTGATGTTTTGGTAATTTATGGCATTTGATGTTGCTTAGGTCTAATTTTGTCTGGTTCGTTCAAGTATTTGGTGATATTGATCATCGACGACTCTAGGATTAGGACTCACTCTCGATAGGATATTCATACTATGTGTGGCCGGCAAGACAACTCAATGAAACTAACCTTAAACATATTTACGGGGTTAAAAATGTATTGAAACAGTGTTGATGATTGAGGAGTTAAAGACATTGAATTTGATTACATCATTTTGGCGTTTTGGTATTAGATGGATGAATGAATGTGAAAGACTATCATATCTTATTTTAGAGTTTTTTTTTATATGTACATATTGATCAACTTAGATGTCTATATATATTGATATTGATTCTCAATTTAGATCTGTTACTACAAATAATGACCACATTTTATTTAATTACAAGGTATATCATTGCTATACTGCTATTACGTATTGAAATTTGGGGTAGCCAATACAAAAATTGATACTAATGTCAACTCCGCTACACTGCAAATAGCAACGAATTAGCAGAATTAGTTGTGTTTTTAGCTGTGGACACTGGTCTTTCTTCGTATCATTTCATGTGTTTGTATCTGTGTCGGATTCCGGGTTTCATTGATGCGAAATTTGCTATTTTACCACTTCCCTGGACTCCATGCCCCTTTTATCACTAGTTTCTAATCTGCTTTCTTTAGGCTTTTTCTTTAGAAAAAAAAAGTAAAGAAATGGTTAGAATGAACATTTACTATTAAAGTTCATTTGGTGCAGATGGTAAGTAGCATAGCTTGTGCAGAAGGGTCACCAGAGGGCATAATCTCTACCGCTGACATTGATACAGATGTAACAACTGCACTAGTTTGTGCGAATGTAGATGATGGTGAGCTTCCTTTGGATTACAATCAAGGGAATACTGATGGAAGCCTTGATGAGAATCTGATTATTGAGTGTCTTGATCAGATACAGCCAATGCGAAAGCGTTCCAGAGACAGGCCTCGTAAGTCAGAAACTGATGATGCAGACTGGCCAGAGAAGCCATTGCTGCTAACACAGGGACCAACCAAAAACAAGAGGTATCAGAACGGTCAAACTAGAGGTCCAGGGAGGCCTCCTAGGGTAATTCAAGATACTGAACAATGTGAAGATAAGTTAAAGAAAAAAGAAGAGAAGTTAAGGAAGAAAGAAGAGAAGTTGAAGAAAAAAGAAGAGGAGTTAATGAAAAAAGATCAAGCTAAGCTGCATGACCGTGAAGAGAAATTAAAGAAAAAAGATGAAGCTAAGTTGCATGACCGAGAAGAGAAATTAAAGAAAAAAGATGAAGCTAAGCTGCATGACCGTGAAGAGAAATTAAAGAAAAAAGATGAAGCTAAGTTGCATGATTGTGAAGAGAAATTAAAGAATGAAAATCAAGCTGGTCGTGGTCGAGGTCGTGGACGAGGTCGTGGTCGTGGTCAAGGTCAAGGGAGGGCTCCTAAGCCCAAGGTATGTGATACTGATGCACCAGTTGCTGAAGCCACAACCATTTGAAGTTCAGGGTAAGAGGTGAATGCAGACCTCTTAAACATAACCAGATTTAAGTTGCTACTTCAGTTTGCACTGCAGGTGTATGAAGGGAAAAACAGAACCACTTGGAAGCAGTAATGGCAAGAGCTTGGTATATCTGAAAAGGTCATCAATTCTATTTGCTCGGTTGCTCTTGATTCTTATTCATCCTGCTTTTTTGAATGGATTTTCATAGCTAAAAGCATATGTTTTCCTGCTTTGACAATGGATCTATTTATCATTTTTTGGTAATTTGTTCAGATTGTTAGAACTGCCTGTAGGAAATCAATCAGCTCTTATATGTGTTATAGCATTAAACTATACCTTGTGTAAATGTTGCGATCGGTAACCATAGTTGCCAAACCACAACCTTGTTTTTGGGATTATTGAGGAATGTTCTTTAGTACTCTCTAACAAGTATTCTATGATTGAGTGAACTTCCTACTGTTCTACTATTTTCAAAATGAGTCCCACCATAAATAGAATTAATTAGGACTAATTGAATCTAGTTAGTCACGTACTAATTTGAATTTAAAAGATTTATGATTTAGTACATATTTTTATTTACTTATAATACATAACAAATACATGAGATATTTATCTTTGAAAAATATAAATAAACATAGAACACATATTTGTAACTAATACATAAAAAATTATGAGATAACAGGTCACAAATGATTATAATAAAAAACACGACAACATATAAAAATAAATCATCTAAAATAAACCACGAGTGATCAGTAATTTTATGGATGAAAAAATTTAGCAGACCATTACATAAGAAAAATATTTAGAGAAACTAAAAAACATACAAAGACAAAAAGCTATTAAAGTTAGGTTTAATGCATCTTTTAATCTTTTACTTTGGTCATTTTAAAAGGATGGATTATCACACAACTATATGTGAATAATGTCTTTCTTAATGGCATCCTTGAAGAAGAAATGTATATGAGCCCGCCACCTGGATTTGAGCACTTTAACAAGAAGCTAGTTTGCATGCTTAACAAAGCCATTTATGGCTTAAAGCATGCACCTAGAGCTTGGTTTCAAAGGCTCAATGGTGCTTTAAAGATTATTGGCTTCATCTTTTCCAAATGTGATCCCTCCATTTTTACACTAATCACACCAACCTACTCTATAGTAATGCTTGTCGTTTATGACATCATTGTCACAAACAAATAAATATCACACATTTAAGATTTAGTGAACAAGCTTGATAAACAGTTTGCTATCAAGCAGTTGGGATCTCTTGAATATTTTCTTGGCATAGAAGTCAACCATCATGCTAAAGGGTCCATTTTTCTTTCACAACACAAGTTTCATAGGGGACCTACTTGCCAAAGCCATTCTAGCAGAAGCCAAAGGAATGGCTACCCCTATCATCTAAAATCTCAAATTATCTAAACACGGCACTGATTATCTTCCAGATCCTATTTTCTATAGGTTCATAGTAAGAGTCTTGCATATGCTACTATTACATGGCCTGAGATAAGTTTTGCAGTTAACAAGGCTTGCCAATTTAATTCTGGTGAAGTTCTTGGTGATCCAAGCAAGCACTTGTGGCCACATCAAGTACATAAGTATGGCTAACATTGCTTAGAAATTCTTTGGATCCAATCCTTGCTAATAGAACTTCACGGACCTTGCACAACTCCAATTTAATTCTGTGAAAATCTGAGTACCGTGGCTCTTTCTCATAATCATGTGCTACATGCTAAGACAAAGCACATGGAATTAGATATATTCTTTTCGGAGGGAAAGTCATCAACAAGAGTCATGTAGTTCTTCATATTCCTGCCACAGACAATAGGTTGATTTGCTTACCAAACCTTTGTCACCTCTCAAATTTCTCTATCTCAGGGATAGACTTCATGTCATATACAAGTCATCTTTATCTCTCAAGAGATAGCTGCATTTGAGGGGAAGATAATAGAGTATAAGGGTGTTATGGTCCTAAGATAACCGTGTGTGTTTGTAAACCAATCTCCCTAAGTGTGTAACTAACTGATGTTGACTCAACTCAGTTACTTACTCTATGGTTTCCTATATAAACCAATTAGAGTGAGTTGTGGTAAGTGGTAACTAATATTCATTGAATGCAAAACAAAAATAACTTAATGTATCTTTTATCTCTCTTTTGTTTCTTCATTTCTTTCTTTCTAATACTTATCTTATTTAATAAATGTTACTTTTTATTCCTTCACTATTATGTTAGTCAACTTAGTTCATTCTATTAACTTTAACTTTAAATATCTTAGAGATAAGATACTGTTCCATTCGTTCCAAAATAATTGTCGCATTTATAAAAAAAAATTGTTCCAAAATAAATGTTGTATTTAATTTTGAATGTAATTTTAGTTTTTATCTTTCAATTCAATTATAGGTGTTTGCGGTTCGGTTTGGATCGGTTTTAAGATAAAAAATCATCCGATCCAAAGATAAATTTACTTGCGATTCGGTTCGGTTTTGGATGATATATTAAAAAAATTCAATCCGATCCAATTTTATGCGGTTTAATTTGAATCGGTTTTTGGATAACCAAATTACACATTATATTTTTATTAATATTATAAAACTACTAATAAATCATAGATTTTGTACGATATATAACATATAGTATATTAAAAGTTAATATTACAAAATGAGAGTGGTTGGTTATGATTGAAACAATAAAAATAAATAAATTATACCAAGCTAATAATAACTAATATTAAAAAAATTATTATCACTTAATAATAAATTCATGTAACATATCATACTAATAAAAAGTAAATTAGTATAAATATATGTATGCGGTTTGGTTTGGTTTGGATCGGTTTTGAAAAATTAATCTGAAATCCGATCCAAACCGATCGGTTTTTATAAAATGACATCCAAACACATCCAATAAATTTTGGTTTTTTGCGGTTTTCGGTTTTTTAGATCGATTTTCAGTTTTTTATTCAGATTAGATTGGATTTGAACACCCCTACTTTCAATTATATCCTTTAATTAATACTCTTAAATTCCAAGAAACTATAAGGACTTTTGAAAAGTCCGCCACCTAGGAATGACTCTCAATCTATATATCAACCACCCTCTAGTAAGTGCATTTTCAATAGCCAATATAATAGCCATCCAGCTCTGCATGCAAAACTGAATCGAAAGGAACTCTCAGTACAAAACCACTCAGAAAGTTCGCCAAATGATCGTGGAATATAGTCCCACACGTTGCAACCAGAGATCCATCTGTATTCACTTCATTTTTTTTACTTTCCCTATTTTTTTCTTATTATTCTACCAAATTTTTTCCTAATTATATTAACTTATTTCTTTTCTAATAATAATAATGATAATAATAATAGAGTCTATTTTATTAAAATTGTTAATACTAAAAAACTAAACTAAAAAATAAGTTATTGATAAATAATTTAATTAGATTTTAGTTAGTAAATCTTTAATTATTTAATTATAATCTATTAATATTATTCAAAATTAATTTTAAATTTTTTAAAGATGATTTCAATTAGTCCCTCCGTCTCATATTATTTGTCTAGATTATTTCACATAAATTAAGAAACATTAATAAATGAAAGAGAAAATAATGACTTTATCAAATTATCTTAATTAATTATTGGTGTATATAAATTATTATTAATGTTAAGTGAGAAAATAATAAATTAAGAGTATTTTTTAGAAAATATAATTAAAAGATTAAATAAAAAATTATATTGATAATCTAAAGTGATAAATATTTTAAGATATTTTTAAATGTGACTTATTTTGGGAGAAAGAGAATAATATTAATGTGTTGTCTCCTAATATAGTTCATAGCCTTGTGGTAAATGATTTTCTAATAAGGTTATATGGTAGGGTTTTGAATTATTCTTATCATTTTAATACATTTAGATTAAAAAATTGGTTTCATCTTAGATCGAATCCTCGATCTCATGTTCAAAAGTTTAAAACCTCTCCATTATTGGGTTTTGAATTATTCTTATCATTTTAATACATGTAGATTAAAAAATTGGTTTCATCTTAGATCGAATCCTCGATCTCATGTTCAAAAGTTTAAAACCTCTCCATTGTTGTACTACTTGTAACGTGATATTGATCTCGTTTAATAGATAATATATATTTATTTTTTACTCCTTCGGTCTCATAATAAATATTTTATTTGAGTTTTGTGCGGTTTTTAAGAAAATAATTAGACATATTGATTTTAATGATAAAATTAATATTATTTATTAAAATACACTTATTTATTATAGTTAGTAGAGTAGTTGAAAAATATAAAACTTAATAAATAGGGATATAACAAAAAAATATTATATTGATATTCTAAAGAGACATTTATTTTGAGAGACTTTTTATAAGATAGAGATAGTATTTTACAAATATTTTAGAAAACATAATTTAATTTTTCATTTCTTATATTATTAATATTTCCTACAATAACAACATCATATTGAGATTAATTTGGATTGTTCGATTTCAATTTAACTATCGAAGATCTTTTAACCTAAGAATGTAGTTTTTATTTTAAATCGTATGATCTAAAATTGACTATTGAGATGAAAAAAGAAGTAATTGAGTCCATTTATTAATGTAGCAAATTATGATCCCTATTTGCACTTCTTTGTCTCTCTCTCTTGTAACCCTATTGATCTTACCTAATCAGAGTTAGACCGTCACAGTTGACTTCGAGCTGAGTTTGAAGGAGATGGGAGTACCTGCAAGACACTCTGATGACAAAGTGAGAGGCAGAATGAGCAAACAAGTATGAATTTAGGTGTGAATGAATGAATACCTGACCCTCTCGAAAGAGAGGGTATTTATAGCCCCCAGCGCTGAGCCAAAGTCTCTTTATTAGGCTGATCAAACATGTCCAACAAAGAGACTGCCATGTTCTACGTGTGTAGTTGGGACCTGCACGTGGCCCCTACCTGGATGACGTCCTCCGTAAGACATGGAGGATAAAGACGCGATCTTTCCGGGACCAT